CTGTTGCCGGTCTGTTGTCATGACCTTCAGTGTCTCCAACTATTCATCAATTACGGAGCTTTTGGATCTCTGCCCGGATTACGAGAGACACCTACTCTACCTAATGGCTCTGCACTTTTCTTCATCTCTCGTCTCCCCATGGCTTTCTCCAGTCTGCAGCGGATACTGGAAATAAGGCACGGTGCGGTATGTGACCGTCAAACAAACGTGGCCTAACCAACGGAGCCTTTTGAGCTCAATCGAATACGATAAGTTCTTGTTCGATGCATTCTTAAACACGCAACGACTTACTTCTAGGCTACTAACCAGTTCACTCTAATCCAGCTGGGCCAAACTACGTGCCCCAACACGGGACGGATGTCTTCTATCCGCAAATTCAAGGTCTCACGACTGTAAAACAGAACTAATCGTATAGTGCTGCAATATATCCTAGTTTTTAACTTAGATGAAACATCGCGTCTACATCAAAGGTTTTCAGTCCTGCGTTCGCTGCTCGTGCTTTAGAACGCGGGAGGTCATCTCCTTTGATGCTCTCCCGGCGTTAGTCACGCAGCCATCCAAGTACGAGAAGAGGGTAACTTCAGCTAATTCCTGACTATCCAGGTTCAGAATGGAACTCGGCGGCATACAGTTTCGCAGCATCACTTTGCACTTTAAAGGGGCAAAGCGCATGTCAAACGAAGTAATGGAACTTACTGGTCTTTCAGGTGCTCTTTGCGCATCCTCTATACATGTGAAAAGGCTAACGATGTCGTCAGCGTACTCTAGTTCGCACAGCTTTTCTTCAGCTGACCATTCAATACCTATGTTTTTGAGACCATTTAGTGCGTTCTCTAGTATTTCGTCTATGATTAAATTGAACAGGAATGGTGAAACAGGGCAACATTGACGAGCACCACTACTAGTTTCGAACGCCCGACTCAGCTAGCTGTAGACCCTTAGGCCAATCGAACTATACTAGTGGAGCGAGTATATTCACGTACTTCCGCGACATTCCTTTGCGAAGAAAACCCAGGACGGATTCAAGGTCAACTGAATCGAAGGTTACTATTAGGTCAAGGAACAAGACAACTTTTGGTAGACGGTGTGTATAGTATAGATCGACGACTTGACGCAGCGTGAAGATTCGATCGATACCGTGACCTGGTAGAAAATTGGACTTCTTGTGAGCGGATATTTGTCTCCCTAAATGAGGTCAGATGTTGAACTAACGGAGGCTCATACTTCGAGGACGATTGGAATTAAACTTATTGCACGGTGGTTTGCGCAGACCTTGAGAGATCTCTCCTTGAAAATTGGAATGATCGGTATTTTACTCCAAGATTTCGGAATGCACTGCTGCAGCCAGATGTTACGCAATATATCGGCAATGGAATCTACGAGGTCCTCGCGCCCCATCTTGAAAAGATTGGGGTGAAGCCGGACAGCTTCTGTTGCTTTTCCTTTCTTCGGGGCTTGGATTCAAGATCGCAGTTCTTTTTCAGTAGGAGGTTTACATGACATTGCCCACGGAGCCTCAGCTACAACAGACGAGATAGCCGGTTAGCACCGGGCCAGCAACACCATTTTTTACAGCACTCCGTTAACCGGTTCAACCGTTTTTTCCTATTGTTATCCACCACTTTCCATGGACCTTCTTAAGGCTCTTCGTGAGTTGACGTTATATATATATATATATATCCAGTAAACGGGAAAAGATGGATGGATTCTAACGGTCACCCCAAGTTTGACAATCAGGTTCAATAAACCTGAAACTCCTGTGCTAATAAATGCCCTACGAAATCCTATTTTATGAAGCAATACAATCGGTTTTCGAAGTTCGGTTTGACTAACCTCCTTTCAACCGCTCATCAATCTACACAATTGGTTCGTAAGCGTGTTTTTCGCGATAGTCGAATTATACACATCAGCGTCCTTAGTATTGTTTTATTTTTTTCAAAGTCTCAACGATGTTACGTGAGTTTTGTAGATAAATTGTCTGGCTAGGTGGAAGCGCAAAAATTACCAGGACACGGTAAATCCAAATAAATAGCAATCATCCCCTAAAAAGAGGTTTGTGACAAAACAGCTTATTTGTAATAAAAACACGTAAGAGAGACAGGAAACTAATCAATTTGGCAAGAAAAGAAAAGAAAGCTATGAGCAGGTTCGTGTATTTACACAATTGAAAAATATCCGATTGCCTTTGCAAGACCGAGTGGACACAGAATAACGAATATCAGAGGACGTTAGATGAATTGAAAGACAATGGAACGTCATAGGACGTAGCTGGAATAGGAACTGTCCGGTCTGAGTGCGTGGCCACCATCAGACGTAGTGATCACCAGCGCGATCTCAGGAGCAACCAACAGAGAAAAAATACCAACGACGCGAAACATAAAAGATAGCAATACAGAGCTGTACTGGAACTATTCTTCCCCAGACCAAGAACACGGGACATGGTCGAACGCAATAAGCCTTCGGATCGGTTAAATGCGCCGGCCATTCCACTAAGTAAAGAATGTTGCTCGCGCAGCTCATCACCAATACGGATCGATAGGCTTCGTAAGCCAGTCACTTTGTCCGTGAGCTCCTGTGTCAATCGTTCGTTTTCCTCTGCCATAAACCCAGAATGGCTCCATGCGGGTGTGGAAGATTGAGCATTAGTTGAAAACGGAGGGTAACCGACACCGCCCGAACGATAGTCAGACTGCTGCTGATGTTTTGGAAAAGAAGGTCCTCTATGCATGGGACTAAAAAAGATTGAAAGGGCAGTTTATTTCACAAAACAATTAAACAACGGTTTCAGTGAGCTATTAAAGGAATTATATCATTGATACATCAAGTGTTCACAAAAGCTTGTTTTCAATCGGTGATATCTTCTACCCACATACATGCATATACCTTTCCGTAACAGGACAAAATCAGAACTAAAGTTGATTATAATCAACCAAAACCGGCGCACGAAAGTGCGTGGTTTATGTTGTTCAAACTGAAACATAGTCGCACATCGCATCAGTTTAGTTTAAGAGTGAGAGGAAGAACTAGACAGATGTTTTAAAATTTTATTATTATACACCTAGGCGTGATGAACAGCAGACGGGGGGAACCCCATGTATGTATATATAAAGTATCCTGTTTTATCCTCTGAGTTGATTACATGTAGCCAGAATGGATTTTATCTAGACTGTCTCTGAAAATAACACACGGGTTTAA